CCGCCCCGGGCCCGGGCCCCACCGGATGTAGGCTTCCGTGCTGCTGGGCCCCGTGAGCTGGTCTTCCAGCAGGTAGGTGTTGTGTGAGGAGGACATCAGGTAGTGGCTGAGCGGCTGGCCCATGTCCTGGTAGACGCGCCGGTGTGCCAGGCTGAAGGCGCTGCCGTCGGCGGACAGCAAGTACATGAGGAAGCCGTCCTTGGTCATCTGCCGCTGCGCCTTGGCTGCGAAGGACGAGGCTGGCGCCAGTCAGAACCCTAACAGCCAGGCCAGCCACCTCCAGGAGACCTTCCGGGCGCCACCGCTCGGGGAGGGGAGCCCCCAGCTGTCCCTGCCTCCCTGTCCTGAGCTGGACCTTGATAGCTCTTGGAGGGGGTGAGTTTGAGTCAACCATCAGACTGTGACTATCCCACGGTGAGGCCCTGTCTTCTCCTCCTCAGTCCCCCACACTGTGAGACCGCCTGAAGCCGGGGCCTCAACCCCTCTGGGCCTCCAGACTGAAGCCCCTCCAGGGCAGGGCCCCGTCTGTCCATCTCAAAGCCCATTCCAGGATGGAAGCAGGAAAAGGGTTTGCTTTTCCAGCCTCCTCTCTCTATTTCCTGGAGGAGGAGTCCACAAAACCCTCTGGAGAAGGAACCAAGACAGGGGTAGTGATGCTGGAGCCCTGTCTCCCATCTGCTTGCTTTCATGGGGCAAGCAAATACTGACCAGGGTGACCCCTTCCCTCCAGCTCCCTACACTCCGGCTGTAGTCTCCCCAGGGGTCTCCCAGCCCGGTGCCGCCCCAGGGACTGCAGGCCAAAGGCCCCAGCCAGGCTCTCACCAGTCTCACTGGGCTCATAGCGCTCAATGAGGGAGAGGGCCAGTGCAGGCCCTGCCGCCTCCTCCCGCTGCTGGTGCTGCAGGAACGTCACTAACTGATCCACCGACAGCATTTCCCTGGAACCGGCCGCCTCGGCAAAGGTGCGATCAATCTCCTCCCGCTGGGTTAGCATCTTGTAGAAGGCCTCAATCTCATCATCCTCCAGGGAGTCCGTCTGGGAGTTGTCACATTCCTGCCAGGCCGGGTGGGCAGGGCTCAGAGCATGCTCCCCACTAGGGTCCCAGGCCCACAGCCACACAGACCGAGCCCTCACTCCCTGCCTCACCCTGAAAATCTTCCGGGCATAGCTGTCATCCACTTGGATGTTGAGCTCCTTCAGGAAGTTCTGCAGCTCCTTGAAGCTCATCTTGTTGTCCTTGTTTTTGTCAGCTTTTCGCAAGCAGGAGTGAATCCAGCTGGGCAAGAAGTAAGGAAAGTACCCAGGAGCCCGGATACCCCCCAGGTCCCAGCTACAGCCAGGTTTCAAGCCCAGGGTCAACTCCTGGGCCCAGATGGACGGAGATCACCTGATCCCTGCAGGCCTGACATACTGCACACCAGCATTCCAGGGACAAGACCGGATGGCCTCTTCAGAGGAAATGATACATCCGATTAAGGGGGCTTTTTTCTATTTACTGGCTTTGAACCGTTTCACATTTAAAAAAACAACATTTCTTTTCTCA